GTCGAGATATTTGCAAATGGAAGGGTATATAAGATTTTTAAGCCAAGTTTCTATAATGTTCAAAGTATGTTCGTTTTACCCTTTAAATCCAATACTGATCTACACAAAGTTTGAGAATTCTGGAATCAGGATACTTGGAAAATTTTATCAATCTTGCAATGGGAATGATCTCTTTACTCATTTAATTTTAAGGCTGCATTGCTAAGGAAGCATCAATGGTTAAGTTATAACTCTATATTTTGATGCCTTAAGGGCATCATTTTAGGGGTATTTTAGACCTTAGATTGACTAATCTATATCCTTTTTTCCAATTAAATTCAATGTTATGCCCTCTGAGGGTCCCTGTGCAAATTATGGGTAAAAACTGGGAAATTTACAAAGTTTTCTGTAGATTTTGGAAAGCTTGTGAGAATTCCAGCTGAGAGAGTGGGTGTTTCTGTGAAAAACTGAGCACAGGAGGGCGTCTCCTATATGCTAAACCCAAAAAGGTGCCCCTCCAATTGTATTAGCATACTCCCCTCTCCTTAACAAACCTTAGGAAACCTCCCCACTCATTCTTTTCACCTCTAACAAACCCTAGCTGCCCCTAACTACTAAATATTCACCTTCCACTCCTCTCTAACATCTAATCTCAACCATCCAAGCCTTAACAACCTCTCATACCCTTAGATCTTCACCTTGCAATTTCCACCCTCCATTCTAGGGTGCCATCTCTTTATCATTCAAACCGTAGGGTGCCACTTAACTCCTAATCCCCACCATTCAACCCTAGGAGATTAAATCCCAACCCTCCATACTTATAGGTGCCCTCTCCTTTTCATTATAGCAATAGGATCCCTCTAGTTTAATCCTATCCCTCCATTCCTAAAACCTAGGGGTGCCCATTTTCTGCATGAACCCACTAGCCGCCCCTTTCTTTCTCTCTAATCCTAGCTTTCTCCATCCTTCTCTATAAAAAGGACCCCAAGGGCCCTTGAGAAGGGGTTGGTTAACCCAATTCACAAGGCCAAGGCTGGTTACAGGAACGGAGACACCCAGTTCTTATTAGGAGGGGTTCCTGCAAGCAATTCGTCCAACCTACAACTGCCGCCACTAGAGCTGATCCACCAATTTTATTTTGTTTTATTTTCTTTCTTTTTGTTATTCATTTTTTCTAGCAATTTAATTTCTATAATTTTTTTATTTTGGTTTGATTTAATTTCTATTTTTCTTTGTCTTTTGCATATATGAATTCGCCCAGTTCAAGGCTAAGGTGTCTCGAGGGGTTTGAGGGCTGAACGAAGGAGGAATGACTTGTAGTTTGTCTTTCCGGAAAGCCACCGCCACTTGATCTGAATTTCAGCATATTTTTATTTATTTTCTTGTTAATTTCAGTTTTATTTAATTTCTGCATTTTATTTATTGTCTTTTTCAATTCTGAATATTTAATTTTAGCTTTAATAAATTTTATTTTCTTATTTTCTGCAAATCCCAATTATGTTTTCTTTTTCTTATTTGTCTGGAACAAAATAATAATTTTTAACCTTGCTTCCCCGAGGATTCGACCCCTTCCTCACCACTAAACTACATTCTTTATTTAGTTTTGAGGATTGGAAAAATATAATTATTAAACTAGTGTCCCGGGTGTTTGACGATGCATCCCAGGTGCACGAAAGGTCAAGGTTCGATAATGGTGATTACATGAACCACGTTGTCTCCCTCACTTCCAGCACTTCATTCTTCCCAAATTTCAGAAGTTGCAATGGCCTTACAAGGTTTCAGAATCACTTACGAAAACCAGATCTTTAACTCCTCACGTCGGTCAATTTACAGCTGAATAACTAGAGCTTCAACTCCTTTCGTCAATTGATTTATAGGGTTTCAAAATTGTCTGCGAAAAGCAGACTGATCAATTCCAGTTTATGCCAACTTTCCATGCTCAAAACCCTAAATCTTGGCAAATCGAACTAGTAACTTGACCTTTCTCTTCACAGCAGCGAATCGAACGGGATGTCAGTGGCAAACCGCCCCATGGTATTTCCCCTCTATCGGCCATCCATACCCTCTCTTATTATCATCTCTACCTTCCACTTTCTTCTCCCCCCTTCTCTCTCTTTACGTTTGTAAGTGATAGCTATTACGTGCATGTGCCATGCACGTATCCAACCAGGACTCCTAATCCATCCTGTTCATTATATTCTTCTCCTACTGTATATATCCTCCTTGTAGATAACCCTTATCCTAGTAATAGTTATCCCAGTAATATCTTTGTAAAGGATAACACTTATCCTAGTAAGATAAGTCTTATCCTAAATAGGATTACATCTAAATCTATCATAGATCATAAATAACTTATTCTTGTATATCTAATTCTTATACTTTATATAAATAAACAAGGAAGAGTCGAATACAATTAATTCGACCATTATTCAAATCTCTCTATCTCTCTTGTTATTCTCATATGGTATCAGAGCCATAAGCTGCCAATTCAAGACTTCCATAATGTCTTCTACTATGTTTACAAATTCGATCAACAAATTAAACTTTGGAGCACCTGGGAATCATATTCCTCAATTGATTTCATTTTGGTTGGATGGGTCCAACTACATCGTATGGCATTTTCAAGTTGAGAATGCCCTTCTAAGCCATGGGCTCCTCGGCCATGTTGATGGGACTACTCCTTGTCCACCTCGTTCTATGGTAACCACAACCACTTCAGGATCTTCTACTTCGACGAGAGAACCCTATACACAATGAGTTAAGCAGGATCGTTACATCTTCAGTTGACATCTATCCTCTCTGACAGAAACAACATTGGCACAGGTCGTAGGAAGCACAACAAGCAAGGAAGTTTGGGTAACCCTTAAGAACCTTTATTCCCCTCAAGGGACAGTTAGTGCCATTGGTCTCAAGAACAAACTTGGAGCATTACTGAAAAATGATATCTCCATGACCGGTTATCTGCAAAAACTCAAGGTATTCAGTGACAAGCTATCTGCAATCGGTGAGCCTCTGACAAATTCACAGTTAATTCATCATGCCCTCAATGGCCTTGGTCCAGATTAAGATGCTTTCTCTATGGCAATCATTACCCTAACAGATGAGCTATCCTTTGCTAGCTTACAAGGTATGCTTCTCACTCATGAGAATCATTTGCTTCATTCAGTAACTGCATCTACACAAGCTAGCTCTCCTTTTGTGAATCTTGCCTCTAAAGGGAAGGATTCCAAAAAATATAATAAATTTGATATACCACAAACGGGTAATGGATCCTCTAAGCCCTCTAAATATATCAATAATCCCTGCCAAATTTATGGAGGACGAAATCATTCTACCAGGTACTGTCGAAAACTCGTACATATTGATAGTTTGAAGAACCTTAAACAACCACAACCTCTGGCGTTATGGCTGCTTTAGGACGTGACAAGCAGGATACAGATATTTGGTTCCCTGACTATGGTGCGACACACCATGTCACTTCGGATCTGAATAAACTGCAAATACATTATGAATATGATGGTTCTGATTGTGTCTCTTTTGGCAATAGTTCATGTTTTCTAATTGCTCATTTTAGATCTTCTATTGTTTCTGGTTTATCTTTCAGATCATTGATTATGAACAATATTCTCCATGTTCCCCGGATCTCTTTCAATCTCGTATTTATGGCCCAGTTTTCTGCTTTTAGTAATGTCTATTTTGAATTTTATCCTCATAAATTCTTTGTGAAGGATTGACACACCAACTGTGGCTTCATCTCCTTTAGCATTGGTTGGTGCTCGTGCCAGTCCTGAGATTTGGCATCATCGACTGGGTCACCCTACTCTTAGAGTGACTCAACAGATTATTTCTTCTCAGCATTTACTAGTAGTTTCTAATACTGATTTAATTTTTTGTTCAACTTGCTCAATAGCTAAGAGTCATGTACTTCCCTGTTCCCGGAATCATGCTATTAGTAATTCTCCCTTAGAATTAATTTATTGTGATTTATGGGTGTTAACACCTGATTTTTGCTCGGTCTACCGCCTGAGCCTCCAATTCACCCCAAACACCCGATCAGACCCTTCCAACCTCTCCAAAACATCCAAAAACATAGAAAACCCAAATTTCACCCCGAGAGCCCTCAGATCTACCGTTAAACATACCTGATACCTATTTTATGACCCCGACTGACCATCTCTTACACCTTAACCATTAGATCAGACACAACCATCAGACCTGGGACGTCCCAAAACCCCTACCCATGAAATTTGAACTCAAGATTCCTTCGTTCACCCATCCATCAAACAAAGATTCTATTTCGACCATTCTCGCACCCACAACCCATATCCACTTGACCCAAACACATCTAAGCCAATCAAACTTTTCCAATCACCTCAGAATACCAAAAAACCCATACATAGAAAATTCCAGCCCAAAACACCTTTATCTACCCTTAATTATACCAAAGATTCCATTTCAAGGTTTCAAATTGACTGGATTACAAATTTTCCTGATCCTGGCTCAGTTGGCTCAATTGGATTTTACCAATCATCTCAGACTATCCAAAAACCCTACTTGGAGAATTTTCACCCAAAATTGCATTTATTTTCCCCTTCATCACATAAAGATTCTATTTCAAGCCCCTAAATTAACCGAATCGAACCCTTTTCAGATTTTCCCAATCCGAGCCTAATTTGGCCAATTTGACCCTGCTAATCAACCTAGAATGTCAGAAGACCCCACTTTACAAAATTTTAGCAAAAAATTCCCTCGTTAACCCTTTCATCCAAAAGATTCCGTTTCAGCTAATTCCATAGTCCTCACACACTGAACCCCCATATACGGTCAGACCCCATGTCAGCCTCCGTTCTTGACCCAGAACCATCCATCATTGACCCAAGAATCTGGTTCAATCTCTGGACCCAATTTAACTTAATCTATTGAAAATTATCAAAATCCCCTATTTTCTTCGAAATTACGAAATGACCCCTGTCCGAATATAAAAGCAAAATGACGTCTCATTTAACCTAATGGAAGAGAAGCTAATCGAAGGGGGGAGGAATGTCCATTGTAGCCCTTCGTCTTCATCGGGTATCAGGGAGTGACGGAGGAATCCTCTAACGATCGGCGCCTCTCCCTCCAAACTTCGCTTCTGTTCTCTCCCTCTCTCTCTTTCTTTCTTCCATAGGTTTTCTCCCTTTTCTTTTTTTTTTTGTTCTCTTCTTCTTCTTCTAGTCTGTGGGTTTTCTCCCCTGTTTTCCTTGTTCCTTCATTTCTCGTTTGTTTTCCGTCGCCTCCACTCGTTGAACTAGTATGACGAAGCGTTTCACGTCCGGTTATCGGTCATCTCACCTCTACCTTCATCACCATGTCACTCATTAGTGCCGTTGATTGATGCCTCCCTGGTTCTCAATCTCCCTTGTTTGAAAGCTGTTCACCAGAAACCTGTCGCTAGAACTTGGAAGGTTGAAACTCAGTTGAAGTAGCCCCATATGATCCTGTTCGATTGAGCTTGACATCAACAATTGTCGTTTGCCTCGAAAATCGGTTCAAACATCGTTGGTGTCTCTGTGCAGATCATCATCACTTCTCTCATTCTGTGATTACGGATGGACCAGGTTCAGTCCATCCGCCCAGACCCAACCAAATCCATTATAAATTTATTACGGATGGACCAGGTTCAGTCCAATTTAATAAATATTTTAGACCGGATTGGTCAAATACGACCAAATTGGTTTTGGACCGGACGACCAGTCCATTGACACCCTTACCTGCTATTGGATTAGCAGATTCCCATGCCCGATACCCATACCCTTTCTGCCCAGACCCAAATTAGCCTAAAGATGGCGAAGAGAAAAATGGTGTAAAGAAACAAAAGAAAGATGGAGAACAAGGAAAGAACAAGTGAACTCTTAACAAGGGGACATAGAGAAGAAGCCCTGGAAGGATCGGAGGAATGAAACTTAAAATTTAACAGAGGCCTTACGTTTGAAGCAAATCATAGACGATTGGCGCCGTCTCCCTTCGTCCTCTCCGTAGGCTCTTTTGTGAATTAAATTTGCATGTTTCCATCACTTTTAGCTTGGGATTAAATTTTTTTTTTTATTTAAACCATCGGATCCAGTATTGTTCGTTTTCTCCTCCAGTGTATTGCATTTGGTTTGCTGTTTTTGGGTATGGATTTGGGTCAGAATCTTCGATATTGTACTTATGATTGACCTACATTTGGCTCAAAGGGAATTTTGTTTGACGTAGTGTTCTTCTTTTCTGGGTTTTGGATAAACAATTTGCTCAAATCCAGCACTTCTTCTAGTACAGGGCTGATATAGTTAAGAGTTGCAATTGTCCTCTCTCTCTCGGTATTATATACTCAATATCGTGGGTTTTAAGGCCATTATTTTGCATTTAAGTTTCCGCTTCTTGTTTCTAATTTTGATCTTCCTTTACGTAATTATGCAGGGATTCTTGTTTTGTGCCGATGCAAGAATTCTTGCTGAAATAACAACCAGGTAACACATGATTTCGCATATATGGTTTCTCGATAATTATGCATTATGATGTAGTTAGTCTTATGCTATTATGTTTTGTTATGGGCTATTGTTGTCTCAATATTTTGATTATAACATGCTATGATGTATTTTCGTGATTATGTTTAATATGTGAAATTGCTTATGTTGACACATGTACCATACCGTATGGTCCAGGTTAACAAAGTTACCTCCACCACCTTATTGTTCAACATTCCTAAATGGGTAATGAAGCCATGATAGATTGATACCAAAGCTAAAGCGGTATGCAAAATGTGAATGTGAAGTTCCCCATAATAAATTGGCAATGGCTTAAGTTGAGTAGCAATTGACAAATGGAGTTTGGCACTTTTTTTTTTACTGTAAACAGAAAAATTTATTATTGATAAAGGAGAATTTCAAAAGTAAAACAAAGGAATTCAAAAAAGGGAGGTCCAACTACCGATCAAAAAGAAGGGATGGAGGGACAACAAGGCCCACAAAAAACTTACGGCAGTGTAGCGAATGACCCAACTCTCATACCCAAATAGAACCACTGTGACTGGGCAGGGCTCCTGAAGCTCTCCCCATCATCTTCCCTCTCTTTGCAAGCTGTCAGCAAAGGGTTAACTGATCTCTGGATTTTGAAAGCAATGAGAGGAGATATTCCTTCTAGCTGCCAAATATCCCACTTTTCTGATGAGTTACAAAAGTGTTTAGGGGTCTTCACTCTTCATCTCCCTCTCTCATCCAATCAATTGCATCCTTGGAATACCTCCACCCCTACAGCCCCACTGGGTACAACCTAGTTAAGTCATCAAATAAGATCATTGAAGAACAGGCATATTTTCAACTATATAGAATTAGTACCTGAATAAATAAAAGGATATTTCTCCACATGTCCTTTCGAGGCAGCTCCAAACCCCAATGACCCAGTCTAGACAGATCTATAATAGAGCCACCATCAAACTTGAGCTTAATTGCTGTTTGGGATAGGGGATGAGGACATCAAGGTGTTGTGTCTGCTTGTCAAAGACACCAAAAAAGATTGGTCTCTCACTATTATCTTCAATTGAGAAGGGGGTCAGAGTGTTGGTGAAACTAACTCAGAATCAGTGTTTATTAAAGGGGTTAGTTTTGCAGAAGTGCCTTTTTTTCAGCTCCTACTCTGTAACCTTTTTTCTTTTAATAAATTTCTTTTTTACTCTTCAAGAAAAAAAAGAAGTGGGTGAGACTGTGATGGGATAAATAAGGATTTGGTTGATTTTTCTTCTATTAAGGAAACCATGTTGTCTTCTGAAGGTGATTTTCAAATCTCTATTGCAACCGATTCCATTCAAAGTTTAAAGTATACAACAAAGACCATTAGTAGAGAGCCCAAGTGATGTTGAGAGGGCTTCATCAGATGATTTGGAAAATGAGGTTGGGAAATCTGGGGAGTTTTTGGATGCTTAAAATGCCAACTTTGTTGATGGAGTTTTCCAAATAGATAAGAAAATGGATTTAAGTAGTGTGATGGAAAAAGAAGTTAAGGTAGACAAGGAGTTGGAATTTTTCCTTTTTGATGGTGAGGATTTTGCAAAAGAAGTATTATAGTTAGAAGACAGGAGAGATAAGTTAACCTTTTCCATTGAGATAGATTCTGTCAAATTCATAAGATTGCATTTTTCTGAATTTAAAAGGGAGAAGGGGTTTTAAGATGTTCTGAGGGTTTGGATATGCTTTTGTAAGAAATGAAACATACTTTCTTTTTACTTTTTTAATAAAATTTCATTTGTTTTTATAAAATTTTTGATAGAAAAATGAAAAAAAGAAATATTTATTAAAAGGAAAAAGAGAATACAAGATGACAGGTGGTAAGGCATCACCCACTAAAAGCAAACTAAAGGCAATCAAATACAACAAGACCCCAATTTATTTGAACCTATCAACTAGAGAAAACCCACAAATCCATTACCTATACCCTTACAAAATTTCTAAACAACCACAATCATCATGAAGTTCCCCCAAAAACTCAATGACCCAGCCCTACATTTTGAAACTTTAACCCTTAATCAGTCCATCAATCAATCAATCAAGTCTCTCCAAACTCCTCTTCAGCCTCAAATCCCTCATTTGAAACATTTTGAGACCTTGCTTGGATTCTCTCTTTTCTAACTCCATAAAAGCTTTTCTTGCAAACTGCTCCCCACCTAAAAAAACAGAACAAACCCATCATTTTGTTGACTTAAACTCCCACCTCTTTTTTTTTTTTCTAGTAAATAACTTCAAATTTTATTAAGACTTAAGGTAATAAAAACATTACAAGTATCCCTCAGAGAGGCATAGGATGCTACCTCTATTAAAAAAATTATAGTAGAGCCCAAACAAATGAATCCTATTTACCTCTTGCTTGGCATCCACCATCCTATTTTCCGATCTCTTCACCCATTGTATCCTCAAGTTCATATTCTTCGCAATCCATTAATTTTTTTTTTTTTTCACTCCTATAGCACCACATTATGGATTTTGGATCCAGTAGCCATCCCACCACCAATTTTGAGTCCCCTTCAATCATCACATTTGCTATATTTAATTCATTAGCAATCTGCATTCTTTTTTTTTGATCAGTAACAAAATGCTTTATTAAATAATAATATTTGTGAAACTTTTAAGTACAAGAAAGGGGAGGTAAACTATCTTAACTCCCCCACAACAAGGAAGAAAGAAGAAAGCTAAAAATTAGCCCAAAACATAGATTCCTTAAGCGCCCCTTGCTTGGCTAACCCATCAACCATTGAGTTAGCGCTTCTCTTCACCCTGTTGTACTTCACCTCAATATCCCTACTCAGCCATTTAAACATTTTCTTTTCATTTCTGTAGCTCCACAAACCATTGTTGTCTTCCTTCAACTACCTAATCACCACCTCCGAGTCCTCTTCAATGACCAAACGTTGTATGTTTATTCTCTTCCTCTCTAATTGGGCCTGAGAAAATAGTATTAATAATTCAAGCCTCATTCCTGAACATTCCCCCAATCCTAGAAGGCCCAGGATAAGCTACTACCATCAAAATTCTGTTTTATGAATCCAAAAGGAGGGGGGGACCAAGAAGGTCTAGAGGTCCTCTCACATTGGACAAAGGTAGCTATTTCTTTCCACTTTCTCAATATATCAGCCATGGAAAAATATGAGAATAGCTCCATAGATTTCAGTTAGTGAGCTACCCTTAAGTGTATCAGTTCAATTAAGTTTTCCATGGTTCTTTCCTTATCTGAAAAAAATTGTGAGTTTCTCTCTTCCCATATGGACCAACACACTGGCACCCTAATGCTTCTCCACATGACCTTCCTTCTTTTCTTAGGCCATCTTGAGAACGAAGGAGAGAACAAGCTTTGCACACTTACGGGGGGATTCTAAGTACATCCAAAAAGGGAAAAAAACTCACTCCCAAACAGTTTTAGTAATCGGACAAATAACCATAAGGTGGTAACCCGTTTCCCCATCACCATTGGCTTTGCAAAGAATACACCTATTGGGAAGTAAACAAAGATTGGGCCTCTTTCTTTGAAGCAAGTCATTTGTGTTTATTCTTTCCAGGAAAGTTTCCCAACAAAAACTACCAACCTGAGGAGGAATCAGTCTGCTCCAAATGTCTTTAACTGGGAAGGACAACCCGAAGGGAGTAGGAGGTTGGAACAAAGTCTCGACAAACGACGCACAAGAAAAGGAGCCAAAGGAGTAGGTTATGTTTAGTACATAATGGAAAGGACACATCTGCCCTTAGTACTTACATAATAAATAAAGTAAATAAAAGCTGAAATAAATACCATCTGAATTAACAAACTGACTCAAACTGACACTACTATAACTGAAACAAATAACTACACATGCTGTCCTACGAACACAGTGGGGACCACTGCAGTGGGGCCCACATCAGTGTTCTCTACAGGGTTGTATTAGGAGATCCACTTTCCCCCTTCCTATTCACTCTGATTGCAGATGTTTTAGGGAGACTGATTCGTAGAGCTGACTTGAGGAACTTAATAAAAGGATGGAGAGTAGGAAGGGAGCAAGTACCACTTACACACTTACAGTTTGCAATTGACACAATTCTGTTCTGTGAAGGTGGGGAAATAAATTGGACAAGGAACTTGAAATTGGCAATACAACTATTTGAGCAGATGTCTAATCTCGAAGTGAACTTTAATTAGAGTTGCATAGTGGAAGTGAATTTGGAGGAGAGGAAAGTAAGTGAATATGCAGGTTTGTTAGGGTGTGTAATTTCGGATTGGCCTTTGACTTACTTGGGCCTCCCCTTGAGATGATCCCATGAAGGACAGCTTTTGGAACCCAGTATTGGAAAGATTTGAGAAAAGGCTTGCTTCCTGGAGGAAAAGTTATCTCTCACTAGGGGGAAGAATCACTTTGATTAGGTCTACCCTAGCTAACCTTCCCGTTTACTTTCTACCGGTGTTTAAGATTCCCACAAAGGTCTCTAATAGGGTGGAAAAGTTAATGAGGGGCTTCTTGTGGGAACCAAGAGAGGAGAAGAAAGATCACAGGGTGAGTTGGGARGTGGTAACTAGAAGTAAAAAACTAGGAGGGCTTGAGATTGAGAATATTAGGAAAAGAAATATGGCATTGTTGGGGAAATGGTTGTGGAGGTTTCCAATGTAAAGGGACAAATTATGGACGAAGATAATGGCTAGCATACATGGGCTAGAAGCCAATGACTAGGATCCAGGAATTTTGGCAAGGGCTACAGTTTCTTCCCCTTGGAAAGCCATTCATGATTTGCTTCCGGTTTTCTCCCCGTGGATCAGGTATGATTTGAACTCTTGTAATCATATAAAATTTTGGGAGCAACCTTGGGTTAGGGATTCATCCCTGATGGACCAATTTCCCTCTTTGTATCCTTGTCAAATTTGAAAATGAACCCATTTCTTCTTTCTTAGTTCCTTCAGAATCTACTTCCGATTTGGGTGGAATCTAGGGTTGAGAAGGACAATCGGGGATACAGAT